ATCAGCACATTTGTTCATATTCTTCAAAAGTTCAAAGTACCCAGCAGGAAAGAGGGAACAAGTGGGGTCCTGGGGCTGAGACAGGAAGGGGAATAAGAGCTGGATAGGGCTCAGGCGTTTCATGTGCTCTGACATGTAGTTCTCACAAAACCCATTTTAATTTCCATTTTGGTGATGAGAAGACTGAGTCCTAGACTATGTAAAAGACCTAAGAGCCATGGTGCATAGTCAGTGGGTTCACTATGTGAAACAAAATGTGTCTAATGCCAAAGCCGCAGCCCTCCATCTCTGCTTTCCTTCCTATAAGGAGGCAACCTCAGAGGTTCCCTCCATTGCCACAGACCCCAGGGGGGAATCTCTGCTCTACACTTGCTATGTCATTGCTGGTTCTGTGCATACAGAAATTCCGGTTGTCTATTGAATGGATTTTCATCAGTCCCACCCTTTACCTTGTCAACATTTCTCCTAATCGGCTATAGTGCTTGTTTTTAACAAGACAGATGGTTCTTCTGATTCTCTAACGCAGGGTTTCTCAAGCTCGGCATACTGGCACTGTGGGCAGGTTACTTCTTTGGTGTTGGGGGCTGTCCTTTGCCTAAACATCGTAGGATGGTTAGCAACATCTCTGGTCTCTGCCCCCTGGTTATCAATAACATCCCCCTCCCCCACCACTATGACAACCCAAAATGTCTGCAGACCTTGCCAAATGTCACCTGAGGGGCAAAATCATCCCTGGTTGAAAACCACAGCTGTAACTCAAGGGGGCTACATGGTCTCCTTGCCTTTCTACCAAAAACCCAACAAACCAATTCACTCCTCCCAGGAATGTCAGCCAAGGAGAAGTGGTCCAGTGACACCTGTGGGTGGAGCCTGGCTTTTCTGGTTTGGGGGAGGGAATGCAGCACACAGATTGCTGGCCCTGCACTTACTTGATGCCCCCGCAAGACGTGAAAAATGTAGAGCTTTCAATGTGCAGATGGCTTGTGCTGCTTAATTTCCAGCCGAAAGCATGCTAACATTTTCCTCCCTCTCTCTGCCTGCAAGCCCGCCAGGAGCAGTGAAGGCATTAACAGGGAGCGGTTGCCCTTTCCCGCATCCTTATCGCACACTATTTTATTCTAAAGAGACAAAGTAGAAAGAATGTAACATATGATTCTGACTACACTTTTTTTTTTTTTTAACTGTCTGCTTTTCCTAGTGACTAGAGCATAGGAGCTGGTTGCTAAGCAACTGGGAAACTGCAGGCTCCTGTACTGGCCATGCTGGTTTCGGAAATGAGCCATAAAAGGAATTCCCCAGTGAGAAGGGATCCCATACCATTGCCTGGTTGCCATGGACACCATATATAAGTGATGGATCCTGGGTTATAGGCCCTGCTTAAGAAAAAATGTTACCCCTGTTTAAGGCTTGAATGGTATAAGAAAGGGATGGAAGCTGTCTTCCTCCACATTATCCACGTGGGCACTTCCCAGCCTCTTCCCCACGTGCTCCCCCTAAAGAGAGGTCTGAATCTAAGTGGCTGAGACATTCCATCCAATTTCAGCTCTGCTCTTATTTAATATGTTCCAGTCTTTGCTAGCGTTGGAAGGGAGTCTGCAATCTGGAGAACAAATTTTTAAGCAAGAAAAGATGCCTCGGGTGGCAGACAGGCTGTCTATCATCCACCCCTGTTTGGGGGCCACACAGCGCCCAGATCAAGCACAAGGGCAACTCTCTCTGTTCACAGGTTCTATTGGAATTTTGCAAAATGAGATTAGTGGGGAAAAAGACAATAGCTGTGACTCCAAAATGAAATTGGCATGTCATGCAGAGCGAGGCACACAATGGGCCACTGCAATTCTGTCAGAAATTAGAAACAGACTTCAGATAATAGGAGTGAAAAACGTGAGGCAAATTTAAAGACGTGGAGCTTAACATACAAAGATGTGCGGGTTTAACCAGGCTTCATACACTAAACAGTAGAAGAGATGGGCCTTGTTGTAACCTCACAGGCTACATCTTCACGGACAGAAGACTTGAGACACTAGACTCTAAGCCCAAAGCCTCCCAGATGAGGAGACTGAAGCCCAAACAGTAGCAGCGATTTGCTCAAGGTCATAGAAGACACACATTTCTGAGTGGGGGTCTGTAAAGGACAACTCTGCATTTTTAATATTGCTGCATAAAAAATTACCCCCCAAACTTAGCAGCTGAAAACAACGCAAACATTTCACTACTATATATAAAATAACCAATAAGGACCTACTCTATAGCACAGGGAACTACACTCAATATTTTGTAATAACCTGTAAGGGAAAAGAATCTGAAAAAAATATATATGTATAACTGAATCACTTTGTTGTAAATCAACTGTACTCCAATTGAAAAAAAAAAGTTATCTTACAGTTTCTGTGGTTCAGGAATCCAGGAGCATCTTAGCTGGGTGCCTCAGACTTGGGGTCTCTCACCGGCTACAGTCAAGATATCGGAGGGGCTGCAGTTGTTTCCAGGCTCCACGGGGGGAGGATTACTCACGTGGTGGTTAGCAGACCTCAGGTACTTGCTGGCTGTTGGCTGGAGATTTCAGTTCCTTGTTACATGGGCCTCTCGGTAGGTCAGTTTACAACATGGCAGCCAGCTTCCTTATAGTCAAAGAGCACCTAAGGTGGAAGCCACAGCTTTTTTTAACCTAAGCTTAGAAGTGATGTCCCATCATTTTGGTCATATTTTATTCATTAGAATTGACTTACAAGGTCCATCCTGTACCAAAAGGGAAGGGATTCCACGAGGGCATGGAGACCAGTAGGTGGGGACCATTGGCCATTGCAGAGGCCACTGACCACAATAACCAAGTATGCTTCCAGGATCCAAGGTGGCAGAGGGGAGAGCAAGGGGGCCTAGGAAGGGGCAGCTTAAGGGAGGTGATAGATAAATACGAGGAAAAGAAATATATAGTAGCAGAGAAGAGAAAGAGAACCTGGTAGAATGGGAACAGAGAAATGGTGGAGGAAGGGAATCAGGGAGTTGGAATGAGGGACATAAGCTGTAAGAAAAGAGAAAATAGTTCCTAGGTTTTGGCACCAAAAACAAACAAGAAGTGAAAATAGGATGGAGGATGAATTGGGAGTGGCAACAGGGGAAGAGAGCTGGGAAGCAAGGAGCAAAGAGCTCAAGCAGACAGTGTAAGAGCCCTGAGGGCACAGGGGCTCGTTCCTCAGATCCCCACAGAGCCTTGCACTGTCTTCAGCAGGTATTCAAAAAACTTTGTGGCACCAAACATTCACTTCTCCTGCATCCAGTGAGAAATTCTGCTGCTTTCTTAACTAACTTCATGCAAAGTGAGAAAAGACTGGCTCTCTCTCAGCCCAGCTCTTGACTCCCTGTTTGACTCTGGGTCAGTGACTTAACCATTCTGGAATGTAGGATCCTTATCAGCAAAATAGACAGGTTGGCTGGATGATCTTTAAAGTTTTTTCTAGCTCTGAAACCTCACAAATTACGTATCAGGGCCTAGAATTAGGAGTCAGAGTAGAAAAAGTCCATGGATCTGATACAGATACAGGCTGCCACTTAGGTCTGACACAAAACTGAGCTGAATTCCATCTTACCAAGATGGTAGTCCATCAATATGCCTCTCAAGGGAAGTTCAGCTCCACTCTTTTGTGGCATCTGTGTGCAATAGAGACTCCGTGAGCTTAATTCTCCTTAGCACCAAGATCCCCATCTGATGCTATGTTAGGAACTTAGACTCATCAACCCTCAAAACAGTAGGAAACCAACCAGGGCATGATTGGTTCAGCTGCCAGAGTGCCATTAGGAATAAAGACAGTAGCAGGAGTCACCAGGAACACGAGGGTCCAGGGCCTCCAAGATATGGGAGTTAGGATGCCTGGATTTAATCACTCTTTTCAGTTGTCAGTGTTTGGAGCTGGTACCTATGAATAAAGGACAGCATCCCATACCTCTGTTTGACCCCTGCCCTCTTGGGCAAGTTACAAGTGGTCTGCCTGCCACACCATGGTCCATGAGGTAACCAAGGATATACAGGCACTTTGAAAAAGCATCTAAGATTAGCCTTTGCTAATCATGGAAATCCACTGATGGTGGAATAAAAACAATCTTGAGAATAAAGGCTGTATATATTTGCTTCTATATCCTCCATCCACTGAAAATGATGGATGGGAGCATTTTGAAAAGGCTTGATATTAATCTATTGGTTGTGGCCACTGGTTCCATTTCCTAGTATTTCTGTATAAAGAAAATATTTTGAAGGAAATACTTCACTTTCCTAAAAATAAGTCTCTCAGAACCTTTTTTGATTTGCAGAAAATGCATCTAGAAGACACTTACCAATAAAGAAGAGTTGTTGCAGTGACACTCGGGAGCAATGGAGAAGCCACCTCCTCACACGTATTCCGAGAATCTAAGTGTAGCAGATGTGCTGGTGTCCTGCCCACAGCCATTTACGTTTCAGCCACTTACATTTGGCTTGGCTTCCAACTGCCAGCATTTACCATCCAAGAGCTTTCTTGGATTTCGATAGCCCCTCCCCAAGTAGAAGGTAGAGCGCTAGGATATTATTACCCACCTGCTCCCCAGAAGCAGCCCTCCAACAGTGACTGAGGCAGGCAGTGTATAAACACCCCAGGTTCTTCGCCCTCAGGTGCCACAAATCTGAGGTGTCTTTCCACTGTTTCCTAGAGACCCCCCCGCAGGACTGAGCATTCCTTGCCTAAGTAGTAACCTGCTCCATGACATACCTTGTGTTGACTTTCCTTCCCTTCCCACTATCAATTCCCTCTCCTACTGGTGTTCCCTGGCATGAACTCCCTAATACACCATTTGCACTTAAACCCTTATCTCAAGGTCTGCTTCTAGGTGAACCCAAATTTCTGCTAGGGCAATAGGAAGGAACAGGAAAAAAAAAAAAAAAGACTTATTTAAAAGAAGGATTTCTGTAAGCGCTGTGCTCCCCTGGTGCATTTAAGAGTTTGTTTACCGCTCATTACCTTCCTTTACAGAAACGCTATGGGACAGATTAGGTAAGAAGTGCTACCAGCGAAAGACCGGCCAGAAATGAAGATGAAGCATCTCTGAAATGGTCATGGAGGTTGCTAGGAGTATTGACTCGATTTACAAAACTTCTGTTTACTCACGACTTTCCCGGTAGGAGAAAGGCAGGATGCCTGTAGTGATAGCCAACTGCAGCATCCCTAGAGACGCATGTCCACGGAGTCATCCGGAAAAACACACTGGGGACAAGGGGCTTTTCAGAGGAGACAGTGCTGGAGCTTGGCGGTACCCACACTGGATTGTCTGGTTTTCCTCCAGCAGCATTTGGTCCCGAGGCTGCCCTGCGGCAGAGGAGTGGGGGCAGGGAGAGCCGAGACACCAAAGCTTGAAGGGCAGCTGAATAGGAAGCAGCTTACAGCATGTGGGCTCAATTTTCCTCAAAAAGCTCATAATATAACTGTCAAAAATGGCACTATGAACCCCAATTGTAAGGTAATTATGTTCAGTCCCAAATTCAACACAATAAACGTTATTTGCTCGCAAGCCCTAGCAACCATCTCATAAGGGGGAGAAAAATACTGTACAAAAAACAAAATGTAAACTCGCAAGGCAGTAATAAAAACAGGCACACAACTATTCATTTCAAGTCTATTTTGGAAAGCCTTTGATAATACCAGTAATTCCCCATAAAGCTCATATTCTCCTGCCACAGTTCCCTGCTGGAGATAGAAAAAGGTTTTGCTGTTCTACAGTCACTCCATTTCTTAAAAAAAAGTTAAATCCCTAACCACCTATATCCAGCTAAGCCTACCACCTAGGCAGGGCTCAGGGGCAGTATCCATGTGACTACTTCTTGTTTTGCACAACAAAATTCATTCAGCGGTCTTAACAAGGTGCTTAAATGGAGTCCAAGAGCCTTGTCCACAAGGTACTGAAACGTTCCCCAAAAGGTAGAAAATTCAACCAACCGTCTGCCCATTTCTAAATATCCTGATGCTTCTGAGCACGCCGGCCAGGTGGTCTCCCTTTTACATCCTGGCTGACACGAGGGAGGCTGAGCAACTCCTCCGGGCACCACTGGCAGGTGTACCTACAACAGAGGAAGGAGGGGGTAGGGGCTTGAGATACACCTTTGGTTGCAAGAACAGAAACCTACTTAGACAAGTAAGAGGGCGATGGTTATATCCTCTCATGGACCCTGAGGAAAAGCTGAGCAATCGGGCCTCGGGGAGAGCGGGAACCAGCAGCAATTTTGGTGGGGGAGTGAAGTGGCAGGGAAAGGACAGGCAGGGCTGTGTGCAGGGACAGAGGCCCCTAGAAGGGACTGGGCATGTGGGTAATTAGTCCCTTTAATACAGGAAGACAGAAAGGAAAAGAAAGAAGAACAGAAGGTGGGGGATGAAGTAAAATAATAGGAACCAAAGTGAAAAGAAAGATAAGCATTAACTGAGTGAAAAAAATGTCATCAACAAATGTTTCAGCCAGCAGTCAGCAGCTCCCTGGTGCTAAAGGTCAGCCTGTCCCCTTCAATCAATCAACTAAAGCTTAGACTCTGCCTACTGTCCGAGCCCCTTCGTGGATATGCATGTACCCACAGCTTAAGAGTCCCCTAATTTTGTTGTTTGGAGAGACACTTCTTTGGGAAACAACCCCAGTGTTCTTATTTGCTGCAAGTAATAATAAACCCTTCATTCTCCCAGGGCGGGGGTGGGGGGATCAGCTGTCCCTAATGTAGAACCAGCCTGTGTAGTACTGCAAATACAAAGCCCTTCTAATTTACCCACGTTGGTCATTCTGATTTACATGATTTATATTCTGATTTTACGGACTAATTGTAAAGAGAGAAAGTTGTATTCATTGAAAGGATGTGTATGATCTTGATGAAGTCCATGTACTTTTCACGCTTCAGTTTTAAAAACTTGGCTTATACATACAATAAGCATAATCCAAAATTGTATTGGGGGCACACTGATGTTTCCTGCTACAACTGATGTGAACATCAGTTTACTTCACTAGGTTTATCTTTACATATATGGCATCAATTCTTTGTCCCAAGGTGTATGCCCTAAACTTTAATAAATCGTTGTCTCAATTCCACTTCAACTTTATCAGAAACGTTTCCTGAACACCTATGATGTTAAAAGCATTGTTTTAAGCACTTATGTTGTCACAGAGTCGAATAAAACATAGCCCTGTCTTTATGGATCTTGTCATTTGAAAGTGGAGGAAGTGAGTAGAAGGGGAATTAGGCACAATCCCCTATAGACATAAATCCCCTAATTTATGTCTATAAATTAGACCTATACACAAGAGACTATAAGACAAGACTATGTCTATACTACTCTACCCAGCAAGGCTCACGTTCAGATTCAGCAGAGAAATCAAAAGCTTTACAGACAAGCAAAAGCTAAAAGAATTCAGCACCACCAAACCAGCCTTAAAACAAATGCTAAAGGAACTTCTCAGGGTTGGGGGGCGGTGGAGGGGAGGCCACAACTAGAAACCACAAAATCACAAATGGGAAAGCTCACCAGTAAAGGCAAACAAAGTAATAGTACGAAATCACCCCCACACAAATATGATATCAAAACCAGCAACTGTGAGGAGAGTACAAATGCAGGAAATGGGAATTGCATTTGAAATTAAGAAACCAGCAACTTAAAACAACATTGTATATATACAGACTGCTGTATCAAAAACCTCATGGGAAATGCAAACCAGAAAACTACAATAGGTACACAAACAAAACAGAGAAAGCAACCCAAACATAACACTAAAGATGGTCATCAATCCACAAGAGAACAAAAGAGGAAGGGGAGAAAAAAGAGCTACAAAAACCTAAAGCAATTAAGAAAATGTCAATAGGAACATATATATTGATAATTACCTAAATGTAAATAGATTAAATGCACCAACCAAAAGACACAGACTGGCTGAATAGATACAAAAACAAGACCCGTATATATGCTATCTACTAGAGACTCACTTCAGACCTAGGGACACATACAGACTGCAAGTGGAAAAAGATATTACATGCAAATGGAAATCAAAAGAAAGCTGGAGTAGCAATACTTATATCAGAAAAAATAGACTTTAAAATAAAGACTGTTCAAGAGACATGGAAGGACACTGCATAATGATCAAGGGATCAACCCAAGAAGATATAACAATTGTAAATATACATGCACCCAACATAGGAACACCTCAATATATAAGCCAAATGCTAACAGCCACAAAAGGGGAAATAGTAACACAATAATAGTGAGGGACTTTAACACCCCAATTACACCAATGAACAGATCATCCAGACAGAAAACTATTAAGGAAACACAACACTTAAATGACACATGAGGGCTTCCCTGGTGGCGCAGTGGTTGAGAGTCCGCCTGCCGATGCAAGGGACACGGGTTCGTGCCCCGGTCCAGGAAGATCCCACATGCCGCAGAGCGGCTGGGCCCGTGAGCCATGGCCGCTGGGCCTGCACGTCCAGAGCCTGTGCTCCGCAACGGGAGAGGCCACAACAGTGAGAGGCCCGCGTACCGCCAAAAAAAAAAAAAAAAAAAAAAAAAAGACACATGAGACCAGAGAGACTTAACTGGTATTTACAGGACACTCCGTCTGAAAGCAGCAGATTACACTTTCTTCTCAAGGGCACATGGAACATTCTACAGGACAGATCACATCTTGGGCCACAAATCAAGCCTCGGTAAATTTTAAAAATTAAAATCATATCAAGCATCTTTCTGTTCTGACCACAATGCTATGAGATTAGAAATAAATTATAGGAAAACTGTAAAAACACAAAACATGGAGGCTAAACAATGTTACTAAACAACCAATGGATCACTGAAGAAATCAAAGAGAAAAAAAATACCTAGAGACAGGGGCTTCCCTGTTGGCGCAGTGGTTGGGAGTCTGCCTGCCGATGCAGGGGACACGGGTTCGGGCCCTGGTCTGGGAGGATCCCACGTGCCGCGGAGCAGCTGGGCCCATGGGCCGTGGCCACTGAGCCTGGGCGTCCGCAGCCTTTGCTCTGCAGCAGGAGAGGCCGCAGCGGTGGGGGGCCCGCGTATCGCAAAAAAACCCCAAAACAAACAAACAAAAAAATACCTAGAGACAAATGACAACAAAAACACGATGATCCAAAACCTATGAGATGCAGCAAAAACAGTTCTAAGAGGGAAGTGTATAGCAATACAGTCTTACCTCAGGAAACAAGAAAAATCTCAAACAACCTAACTTTACACCTAAAGCAACTAGAGAAAGAAGAATAAACAAAACCCAAAGTTAGTAGAAGGAAAGAAATCATGAGATCAGAGCAGAAATAAATGAAATAGAGACAAAGAAAACAATAGCAAAAATCAATGAAACTAAAAGCTGGTTCTTTGAAAAGATAAAGAAAATTGATAAACCTTCAGCCAGACTCATCAAGAAAAAGAGGGTGAGGGTGATGGCTCAAATCAATAAAATTAGAAATGAAGGGGCTTCCCTGGTGGTGTAGAGGTTAAAAATCCACCTGCCCATGCAGGGAACAGGAGTTCAATCCTTGGTCCGGGAAGATCCCGCATGCCGTGGAGCAACTAAGCCCATGAGCCACAACTACTGAGCCTGTGTTCTAGAGCCTGCAAGCCACAACTACTGAGCCTGTGTGCTGCAACTACTGAAGCCTGCATGCCTAGGGCCTGTGCTCTACAGCAAGAGAATCCACCACAAGGAGAAGCCCACGCACTACAACGAAGAGTAGCCCCCACTTGCTGCAACTAGTAAAAGCCTGTGCGCAACAATGAAGACCCAATGCAGCCAAAAAAAGAAAAGAAAAACACATTTACAAATGAAAAAGAAGTTACAATGGACACCACAGAAATACAAAGGATCATAAGAGACTAGATAACCTAGAAGAAATGAACAAATTCTTAGAAAGGTACAACATTCCAAGACTGAGCCAGGAATAGAAAATAGAAACAGACCAATCACAAGTACTGAAATTGAAACTGTTATTAAAAAACTTCCAACAAACAAAAGTTCAGGCCCAGATGACTTCACAGGTGAATTCTATCAAACATTTAGAGAAGAGTTAACACCTATCCTTCTGAAACTCTTCCAAAAAAATTGCAGAGGAAGGAACACTCCCAAGTTCACTTTATGAGGCCACTATCACCCTGATACCAAAACCAGACAAAGATACCACAAAAAAATAAAATTACAGGCCAATATCACTGATGAACACAGACACAAAAATCCTCAACAAAATACTAGCAAACTGAATCCAACAACACATTAAAAGGAGCATACACTGTGATCAAGTGGGATTTATCCCAGGGATGCAAGGATTCTTCATTATTTGCAAATCAATCAATGTGATACAACACATTAACAAATTGAAGAATAAAAACCATATGATCATCTCAATAGATGCAGAAAAAATCTTTTGACAAAATTCAACATCCATTTATGATAAAAATTCTCCAGAAAGTGGGCATAGAGGGAACCTACCTCAACATCATAAAGGCCATATACGACAAACCCACAGCAAACATCATTCTCAATGGTGAAAAACTGAAAGCATTTCCTCTAAGATCAGAGACAAGACAAGGATGTCCACTCTCGCCACTTTTATTCAACATAATTTTGGAAGTCCTAGCCACAGATATCAGAGAAGAAAAAGAAATAAAAGGAATCCAAATTGGAAAAGAAGAAGTAAAACTGTCACTGTTTGCAGATGACATGTTCCTATACATAGATAATCCTAAAGATGCCATCAGAAAACTACTAGAGCTTATCAATGAATTTGGTAAAGTTGCAGGATACAAAATGAATACACAGAAATCTCTTGCATTCCTATACACTAACAATGAAAGATCAAAAGGAGAAATTAAGGAAATAATCCCATTTACCACTGCATCAAAAAGAATAAAATACCTAGGAATAAACCTACCTAAGGAGGCAAAAGACCTGTACTCAGAAAACTATAAGATACTGATGAAAGAAATCAAAGATGACACAAACAGATGGAGAGATATACCAGTTCTTGGATTGGAAGAACCAATATTATCAAAATGACTATACTACCCAAAGCAATCTACAGATTCAATGCAATCCCTATCAAATTACCAACAGCATTATTCTCAGAATTAGAGCAAAAATTTTTACAATTTGTACGGAAACACAAAAGACCCAAGTAGCCAAAGCAATCTTGAGAAAGAAAAATGGAGCTGGAGGAATCAGGCGCCCTGACTTCAGACCATACTACAAAGCTACAGTCTTCAAAACAGTATGGTACTGGCACAAAAAAAGAAATATAGATCAATGGAACGGGATAGAATGTCCAGAGATAAACCCATGCACCTGTGGTCACCTAGTCTATGACAAAGGAGGCAAGAATATACAATGGAGAAAAGACAGTCTCTTCAATAAGTGGTGCTGGGAAAACTGGACAGCTACATGTAAAAGAATGAAATTAGAACACTCCTTAACACCGTACACAAAAATAAACTCAAAATGGATTAAAGACTTAAATGTAAGGCTGGGTACCATAAAACTCTTAGAGGAAAACATAGGCAGAACACTCTCTGACATAAATCGCAGCAAGATCTTTTTTTTTTTTTTTTTTGGCAGTACGCGGGCCTCTCACTGCCGTGGCATCTCCCTTTGCGGAGCACAGGCTCCGGACGTGCAGGCTCAGCGGCCATGGCTCACAGGCCCAGCCGCTCCGTGGCATGTGGGATCCTCCCGGACCGGGACATGAACCCGTGTACCCTGCATCGGCAGGCAGACTCTCAACCACTGCGCCACCAGGGAAGCCCAGCAAGATCTTTTTTGATCCACCTCCTAGAGTAATGAAAATAAAAACAAAAATAAATGGGACCTAATTAAACTCAAAAGCTCTTGCACAGCAAAGGAAACCATAAACAAAACAAAAAGACAACCCACAGAATGGGAGAAAATATTTGCAAATGAAGCAACCAACAAGGAATTAATCTCCAAGATATACAAACAGCTCATGCAGCTCAATATCAAAAAAACAAACAACCCAGTCAAAAAAATGGGCAGAAGATCTAAACAGACATTTCTCCAAAAAAGACATACAGATGGCCAAAAAGCACATGAAAAGATGTTCAACATTACTAATTATTAGAGAAATGCAAATCAAACTACAACGAGGTATCACCTCACACCAGTCAGAATGGCCATCATCAA